CTTCAGAAATTTGGTGTTTCTTCGGATGACGAATCTTACGAAGGTTTCCGAGATAAAGTGGTATGCTGATCTTTTGTTGCTTAGTAGGGCTAAGACCTGAATTAGTGGGACTCATGGTGCAGACACTCTACATTGTTCAGAATTATTTTTGTTTTTTCAGGCCAGTGCTTATGCAGAAGGGTTGTGTTGGGTGCTTAGATATTATTATCAGGTGTGTTTATGGTTAATTTGTTATGTTTTTGCTTTAATTTTCTATTCGGAATAGTTTTCTATTTAGAACAAATATATTTATGTTACTTTTTGTTTAATAGTATGTATATATATGAACGGTATTGTTGTGTTGCTTTGTATTCATTCATTTCATTTATTCGTATATGTCATTTTAGGGTTGTTGCTCGTGGAAGTGGTACTTTCCATTCCACTACGCACCGTTTGCTTCAGATTTTAAAAATATCGAATCAAAACGTTACAGCTTTGAGAAGGGAACACAGCCGGTATGTACATGTAATAGTGTCTTCTTTATCCTTATGGATTGTCAATGTGCTCAAGGTTTTTCTTAACTATTTTAGTTCAATCCTTTGGAGCAACTGATGAGTGTGTTTCCTGCTGCTAGTGGAAACTTCCTTCCTCCAACATGGCGAGACCTGATGAGTAATCCGGTAAGCCAAGTTTTATTTGTTACAAAACATCAAATTTACCAAAGAGTGCGACAATTTACATATATAGTCTTTCACCATTTTATAGGAATCTCCGATAATCGATTTTTATCCAACTGATTTTGAAATTGATTTAAACGGAAAGAAGTACGCTTGGCAGGGTGAGACGATGCTGTATGTTTTTTTTATCAAAATGGATGATAGAATTCTGAAATGCATTCTTCACTATTCGTGTAGGTGTTGCTCTGCTGCCGTTTGTTGACGAGAAACGTCTCCAGGAATCTTTGGCAAAAGTTTATCCAGATATAACTGAAGAAGAAAGTAAGAACATTAACTCATTAAGCTGCAACGCGCTTCAATGTACGCCGTGTTATCGTCATACACTGTCTGACTTTTACTTTCTTGCAGAGAGGCGCAACAGCCGTGGCAAAGATCGATTCTTTGTTGGGCCGAAACATTCTGCCTTCGACTTTTTTAAAGGATTGTATGAAGGTGGAGGAACTGACGATGTGAGTTACAGTAGAATGATCTCGTTGATTGAAAGATAATGATTGACTGATTTAATCATAATTGTTGAATTGATAGATTGATCATGATTACAGTGATTCATGATCACGATTGATTGATCGGTTGATCATGAGTGATTTATTGGACATGACTGATGGTCATAACTAATTGATTGATCATCATTGATCGATCATAATTGACTGATTGATTGTGATTGATCGTTTTTTTTTGTTCAGGAAGTTGATATAGTGACAGATCTTACTGAAGGAATGTCTGGTAAAGTGATGGTCGACGATCAAGCTATCTTACCGTCAAAGTGAGTAACACCGTGACCAACTAAATTGAACTTTATTGTATTCATTCAAATATCAATTCAAATTACTTTGGTTTTCATTTTATTCAGATGTGTTCCGTCACCTATCCCCCAACTTAGAGATCTCACAGAGAATCGTGCTATTGGGTATGGACTTTTTACTAGAAGTGGTATCTTTATAATTGACTGAGACATTGAGCCATTTTCCCGCTGTTTTTAACATCCCTAAAGATGGTTCAGATCAGTACTGTACGTCCAGTATGATGCAGACATAGTAGAATTTCTCATTCGATTTTTTGTTTTGTTTTGTTTTAGTATAAAGTTTGAAGATGTAAAGTATGGAGAAGAATACGTATTCAAGGCAAAACTATTACCCACTGTCACGTGAGTATGAAGTGATCTTGATGAACTAACTTAGTTTGTTCCTCAATGGTTTGGTCATACTGGATATAGCTCTATCAGTTCTAAATTGTTCTTCCTAGAGGTCCAGTAAGGATCATCTCTTGTTGATCCAGTGTTACTACAGGAGGAAACCTTAACTAAACTAACTTTATTTATACTGGATAGCTCTATCAGTTATAAACTGTTCTTCCTAGAGGTCCAGTAAGGATCATCTCTTGTTGATCCAGTGTTACTACAGGAGGAAACCTTAACTAAACTAACTTTATTTATACTGGATAGCTCTATCAGTTATAAACTGTTCTTCCTAGAGGTCCAGTAAGGATCATCTCTTGTTGATCCAGTGTTACTACAGGAGGAAACCTTAACTAAACTAACTTTATTTATACTGGATAGCTCTATCAGTTATAAACTGTTCTTCCTAGAGGTCCAGTAAGGATCATCTCTTATTGATCCAGTGTTACTACAGGAGGAAACCTAAACTAAACTAACTTTATTTATACTGGATAGCTCTATCAGTTCTAAACTGTTCTTCCCAGAGGTCCAGTAAGGATCATCTCTTATTGATCCAGTGTTACTACAGGAGGAAACCTAAACTAAACTAACTTTATTTATACTGGATAGCTCTATCAGTTCTAAACTGTTCTTCCTAGAGGTCCAGTAAGGATCATCTCTTGTTGATCCAGTGTTACCACAGGAGGAAACCTTAACTAAACTAACTTTATTTATACTGGATAGCTCTATCAGTTCTAAACTGTTCTTCCTAGAGGTCCAGTAAGGATCATCTCTTGTTGATCCAGTGTTACCACAGGAGGAAACCTTAACTAAACTAACTTTATTTATACTGGATAGCTCTATCAGTTCTAAATTGTTCTTCCTAGAGGTCCAGTAAGGATCATCTCTTGTTGATCCAGTGTTACTACAGGAGGAAACCTAAACTAAACTAACTTTATTTATACTGGATATAGCTCTATCAGTTATAAATTGTTCTTCCTAGAGGTCCAGTAAGAATCATCTCTTATTGATCCAGTGTTACTACAGGAGGAAACCTAAACTAAACTAACTTTATTTATACTGGATAGCTCTATCAGTTCTAAACTGTTCTTCCTAGAGGTCCAGTAAGGATCATCTCTTGTTGATCCAGTGTTACTACAGGAGGAAACCTAAACTAAACTAACTTTATTTATACTGGATAGCTCTATCAGTTCTAAACTGTTCTTCCTAGAGGTCCAGTAAGGATCATCTCTTATTGATCCAGTGTTACTACAGGAGGAAACCTTAACTAAACTAACTTTATTTATACTGGATAGCTCTATCAGTTCTAAACTGTTCTTCCTAGAGGTCCAGTAAG